GATATATATATTTTACGGTGAATCGAATGACTAAAGCCGGCCATACATCCGGAGAGTTTCATAAAATGAGTTATCAGAACATTCGATTTGATCGGCGATCATTTTCGGACGGCAGTCCAGAGACGATGGAAGGAGCAGGATGGAAGGCTGACCCCCGAACAAAAGGAAGTTCTAACAGTGAATGAAGTCTTCCTTCCGGAAACTCCATTCATTGTCAGAATCGAATGTGAACATCGCATGAAATCTCGGCGAGTCTGTGACGGCGTCATCGAATGTTCCCAGCAGATTTCTCGTACGGACCTTCTTAGGATGATCTCTCGGTGTATGGCCGGCCTTAGTGTGAGACATCTAATGTCCCCTCCCCCCACAGTCACATCAGTCTCTGTATAGGAGGAGCTTACACTCTAATGTCCCCTCCCCCCACAGTCACATCAGTCTCTGTATAGGAGGAGCTTACACTCTAATGTCCCCTCCCCCCACAGTCACATCAGTCTCTGTATAGGAGGAGCTTACACTCTAATGTCCCCTCCCCCCACAGTCACATCAGTCTCTGTATAGGAGGAGCTTACACTCTAATGTCCCCTCCCCCCACAGTCACATCAGTCTCTGTATAGGAGGAGCTTACACTCTAATGTCCCCTCCCCCCACAGTCACATCAGTCTCTGTATAGGAGGAGCTTACACTCTAATGTCCCCTCCCCCCACAGTCACATCAGTCTCTGTATAGGAGGAGCTTACACTCTAATGTCCCCTCCCCCCACAGTCACATCAGTCTCTGTATAGGAGGAGCTTACACTCTAATGTCCCCTCCCCCCACAGTCACATCAGTCTCTGTATAGGAGGAGCTTACACTCTAATGTCCCCTCCCCCCACAGTCACATCAGTCTCTGTATAGGAGGAGCTTACACTCTAATGTCCCCTCCCCCCACAGTCACATCAGTCTCTGTATAGGAGGAGCTTACACTCTAATGTCCCCTCCCCCCACAGTCACATCAGTCTCTGTATAGGAGGAGCTTACACTCTAATGTCCCCTCCCCCCACAGTCACATCAGTCTCTGTATAGGAGGAGCTTACACTCTAATGTCCCCTCCCCCCACAGTCACATCAGTCTCTGTATAGGAGGAGCTTACACTCTAATGTCCCCTCCCCCCACAGTCACATCAGTCTCTGTATAGGAGGAGCTTACACTCTAATGTCCCCTCCCCCCACAGTCACATCAGTCTCTGTATAGGAGGAGCTTACACTCTAATGTCCCCTCCCCCCACAGTCACATCAGTCTCTGTATAGGAGGAGCTTACACTCTAATGTCCCCTCCCCCCACAGTCACATCAGTCTCTGTATAGGAGGAGCTTACACTCTAATGTCCCCTCCCCCCACAGTCACATCAGTCTCTGTATAGGAGGAGCTTACACTCTAATGTCCCCTCCCCCCACAGTCACATCAGTCTCTGTATAGGAGGAGCTTACACTCTAATGTCCCCTCCCCCCACAGTCACATCAGTCTCTGTATAGGAGGAGCTTACACTCTAATGTCCCCTCCCCCCACAGTCACATCAGTCTCTGTATAGGAGGAGCTTACACTCTAATGTCCCCTCCCCCCACAGTCACATCAGTCTCTGTATAGGAGGAGCTTACACTCTAATGTCCCCTCCCCCCACAGTCACATCAGTCTCTGTACAGAGGAGCTTACACTCTAATGCCCCCTCCCCCACAGTCACACACTATGATTATAATATAATGTCTGGCTTTATGGCCGGCCTTAGCGTGAGACCTCCATGGAGGATGGACATGACGCTCTATAAATGGTACGTATTCCTCCATGGAGTGTCACCTTGCCGTGTCTCTGTGTCATTGCAGTGTCGCACTACGCTCGCATATCCTCCATTAGAAGAAAAGTAGCGGGTCGACGCTCATCCATCGTGAGCGGACTAGTGCCAGGTATTCGATGTATTTCTGTGATGGCGAGCAGTGTATGTACCTGAATGTGACCTCACGGCAGCCTCCTGCAACCCCCTGCACAGCAGAGCTCAGGGAGGGGAGGGGGGGAAACAGCACAAGAAGCTGATCGGGCGTGCTGGTTTTCAAGGAGCACACTGATAGGAGCAGAGAGCAGAGTGACAGAGAGAGGAGCTCATCAGTCTGCTGCTTCTCCTTGGAGTGAGGAGGGGGACCTGCAAGTGAAAATGAAACATTGAGGTCTCACCCCTTTGGTGGATGAGGCTGTGCTGCTTGGCAGAGCAGCGTAAATCTCAGGACAGAGTGGACAGGAGCTCTGTAGAGGGGAGGAGGGACGCGTCTGAGGTGGTTTCATTATCAATATGGGACTTTAAAAGGTCCCAAACGATAGAGATACGCCATCCTCAACCTCCCTAACACGGAGGGGCCCTTGAAATAACTTTCAGGTCTCGGGGAACTCCTGCTAATGGTCAGTGGGAAGAATGCTCCTCACCGGGAGCGCCCCGAGGCCGGGTGACACCCCGCTGTGACGGCATCGCGCATGCGCAGTCATCTTATTGACGCCTGCCGGGGGCCATCATGGTGGTGGACGCCGGCAGAGGGAAGAGGGGACGTCCACCTGGCGGGATGAGGTATGCCGGCGCGTCCCCATCTCTCTCCTGAAACTTTTCAGAGGGGGGTGACACCAAAATGACTGTCACCAATGGTGTCACCCCCCCTTGTGACGCCACTGCTCCTTACATTAGTGGTCAGTGGGAAGAATGCTCGTTACCAAGGGCGTCCCGAGGTTGGGTGTTCACGCGGAGCGAATACCGGGCGACACCCCGCTGTGACGCCATCGCGCATTCATCTTATTGACACCTGCCGGCGGCCATCTTGGTGAGGGATGCCGGCAGAAAGAGGAGGGGACGTTCACCTGGATGGATAAGGTATGCCGCCCGGTCCCCTCCTCTCTCCTGACACTGTCGGGCTCTCGGTCCATGTGCCCAACCTTTTTTGGTGTCACCCCTCCAATGGTTTCACACGGTTGCGGGCCGCACCCCCTTTGTGACGCCACTGCTCCTTACATTGGGGGCCAGTGGGAAGATTGCTCCTTGCCAGGAGCGTCCTGAGGTTGGGTGACACCCCGCTGGGAGGTCATCGCGCATGCGCAGTCCTCTCACTGACGCCTGCCGGCGGCCACCTTGGTGGCGGATACCGCCAGAGAGAGGAGGGGACGCTCACCCGGCGGGATGAGGTATGCCTCATGAAACTGTTGGGCTCTCGGTCCGTGACTGAATGCCGGACTTCTCAGAGGGGGTGACACCAAAATCACTGTCACAATCCAAAATTTTTCTTGGCAAAATTGTTCTGACCCGAAATAAGAAAATCGCTCCGAATCTCTCTCTGCTGTTTTCAGAGCGGCCATTGATGGTACCGGTCTGGAACGCAGTGGAGGAAACAATAAAAGAACCTACGGCCAAGATAAGTCCAGAACCGGGTAACTATAGACCAGACTTCCGTGTGTGTGCGGCAATTCTCCGACGACGGCCCATTCATACTCATGTGGCCCCATTGCGGCGCAATAACCCGCGTCTGTTTATTATAAATGGGTCGCCGTCAGGGCCGGATTTACTCTCCCTGCCGCCCCAAGGCAAGGTTCTGCAATGCGCATCCCCCTCCCCCTCAACAGACAAAGGTAACTGGATGGCAGGGGCGGCAGGGAGAGTTATTTATTTTTTTATTTTTTACATTTTTTTTATTTCACTGTTTGTTTTAGAATTTTTTTAAATCTTATTGTTTATTTTTTATAATTATTTTCTTTCATTTTATTCATTATTATTTCCGATAATTTTTTACATTTTTATAATTTTTTTCAATGTGTGTGTGTCTGTGTGTGTGTGTGCGTGTCTGTGTGTGTGTGTGCGTGTCTGTGTGTGTGTGTGTGTCTGTGTGTCTGTGTGTCTGTGTGTCTGTGTGTCTGTGTGTCTGTGTGTCTGTGTGTGTCTGGGGCTGTGTGTCTGTGTCTCTGTGTGTCTGTGTGTCTGTGTGTGTCTGGGGCTGTGTGTCTGTGTCTCTGTGTGTCTGTGTGTCTGTGTGTGTCTGGGGCTGTGTGTCTGTGTCTCTGTGTGTCTGTGTGTCTGTGTGTGTCTGGGGCTGTGTGTCTGTGTCTCTGTGTGTCTGTGTGTCTGTGTGTGTCTGGGGCTGTGTGTCTGTGTCTCTGTGTGTCTGTGTGTCTGTGTGTGTCTGGGGCTGTGTGTCTGTGTCTCTGTGTGTCTGTGTGTCTGTGTGTGTCTGGGGCTGTGTGTCTGTGTCTCTGTGTGTCTGTGTGTCTGTGTGTGTCTGGGGCTGTGTGTCTGTGTCTCTGTGTGTCTGTGTGTCTGTGTGTGTCTGGGGCTGTGTGTCTGTGTCTCTGTGTGTCTGTGTGTCTGTGTGTGTCTGGGGCTGTGTGTCTGTGTCTCTGTGTGTCTGTGTGTCTGTGTGTGTCTGGGGCTGTGTGTCTGTGTCTCTGTGTGTCTGTGTGTCTGTGTGTGTCTGGGGCTGTGTGTCTGTGTCTCTGTGTGTCTGTGTGTCTGTGTGTGTCTGGGGCTGTGTGTCTGTGTCTCTGTGTGTCTGTGTGTCTGTGTGTGTCTGGGGCTGTGTGTCTGTGTCTCTGTGTGTCTGTGTGTCTGTGTGTGTCTGGGGCTGTGTGTCTGTGTCTCTGTGTGTCTGTGTGTCTGTGTGTGTCTGGGGCTGTGTGTCTGTGTCTCTGTGTGTCTGTGTGTCTGTGTGTGTCTGGGGCTGTGTGTCTGTGTCTCTGTGTGTCTGTGTGTCTGTGTGTGTCTGGGGCTGTGTGTCTGTGTCTCTGTGTGTCTGTGTGTCTGTGTGTGTCTGGGGCTGTGTGTCTGTGTCTCTGTGTGTCTGTGTGTCTGTGTGTGTCTGGGGCTGTGTGTCTGTGTCTCTGTGTGTCTGTGTGTCTGTGTGTGTCTGGGGCTGTGTGTCTGTGTCTCTGTGTGTCTGTGTGTCTGTGTGTGTCTGGGGCTGTGTGTCTGTGTCTCTGTGTGTCTGTGTGTCTGTGTGTGTCTGGGGCTGTGTGTCTGTGTCTCTGTGTGTCTGTGTGTCTGTGTGTGTCTGGGGCTGTGTGTCTGTGTCTCTGTGTGTCTGTGTGTCTGTGTGTGTCTGGGGCTGTGTGTCTGTGTCTCTGTGTGTCTGTGTGTCTGTGTGTGTCTGGGGCTGTGTGTCTGTGTCTCTGTGTGTCTGTGTGTCTGTGTGTGTCTGGGGCTGTGTGTCTGTGTCTCTGTGTGTCTGTGTGTCTGTGTGTGTCTGGGGCTGTGTGTCTGTGTCTCTGTGTGTCTGTGTGTCTGTGTGTGTCTGGGGCTGTGTGTCTGTGTCTCTGTGTGTCTGTGTGTCTGTGTGTGTCTGGGGCTGTGTGTCTGTGTCTCTGTGTGTCTGTGTGTCTGTGTGTGTCTGGGGCTGTGTGTCTGTGTCTCTGTGTGTCTGTGTGTCTGTGTGTGTCTGGGGCTGTGTGTCTGTGTCTCTGTGTGTCTGTGTGTCTGTGTGTGTCTGGGGCTGTGTGTCTGTGTCTCTGTGTGTCTGTGTGTCTGTGTGTGTCTGGGGCTGTGTGTCTGTGTCTCTGTGTGTCTGTGTGTCTGTGTGTGTCTGGGGCTGTGTGTCTGTGTCTCTGTGTGTCTGTGTGTCTGTGTGTGTCTGGGGCTGTGTGTCTGTGTCTCTGTGTGTCTGTGTGTCTGTGTGTGTCTGGGGCTGTGTGTCTGTGTCTCTGTGTGTCTGTGTGTCTGTGTGTGTCTGGGGCTGTGTGTCTGTGTCTCTGTGTGTCTGTGTGTCTGTGTGTGTCTGGGGCTGTGTGTCTGTGTCTCTGTGTGTCTGTGTGTCTGTGTGTGTCTGGGGCTGTGTGTCTGTGTCTCTGTGTGTCTGTGTGTCTGTGTGTGTCTGGGGCTGTGTGTCTGTGTCTCTGTGTGTCTGTGTGTCTGTGTGTGTCTGGGGCTGTGTGTCTGTGTCTCTGTGTGTCTGTGTGTCTGTGTGTGTCTGGGGCTGTGTGTCTGTGTCTCTGTGTGTCTGTGTGTCTGTGTGTGTCTGGGGCTGTGTGTCTGTGTCTCTGTGTGTCTGTGTGTCTGTGTGTGTCTGGGGCTGTGTGTCTGTGTCTCTGTGTGTCTGTGTGTCTGTGTGTGTCTGGGGCTGTGTGTCTGTGTCTCTGTGTGTCTGTGTGTCTGTGTGTGTCTGGGGCTGTGTGTCTGTGTCTCTGTGTGTCTGTGTGTCTGTGTGTGTCTGGGGCTGTGTGTCTGTGTCTCTGTGTGTCTGTGTGTCTGTGTGTGTCTGGGGCTGTGTGTCTGTGTCTCTGTGTGTCTGTGTGTCTGTGTGTGTCTGGGGCTGTGTGTCTGTGTCTCTGTGTGTCTGTGTGTCTGTGTGTGTCTGGGGCTGTGTGTCTGTGTCTCTGTGTGTCTGTGTGTCTGTGTGTGTCTGGGGCTGTGTGTCTGTGTCTCTGTGTGTCTGTGTGTCTGTGTGTGTCTGGGGCTGTGTGTCTGTGTCTCTGTGTGTCTGTGTGTCTGTGTGCGTGTGTCTGTGTGCGTGCGTGTGTGTGTGTGTGTGTGTGTGTGTGTCTGTGTGTGTATGCCGTGTTAATATTCATTATTTCCCTTCCGGGCAGATTCTACGACTGTCGCTTTAATATCTCTGCCCTTTGTTCCCGACAAAATCTTCCTCGGAATTGATGAGACGCCGGACACCTGGATCAATCTGTTACACAACCCAGACCGGGGTAGGGAAGACATTGTATTCTATTCCTAATTTAATGTCCCCTCCCCCACAGTCACACACTATTATTATACATGTATATAGCTCTGACATATACCGCAGCGCTGTACAGAGAACACTGAGTTGTATATGTGATGTAGGGATTAGTATTACTTTGTATCCCCCTCAGACATAACACTGAACGGGAGGCTGGCGGCGGACGGGAGCAGTTTTGCTCGGCTGGGATTTGTGAACAGGAAGAAGAAGATATCGATGGACATCGCGGCGGATAATTTTACGTTGTTCGCCGCGCCCAATGCGCAGACCTACAACTGGACCTCAGCGCTGCAAGGAGTCCGGTAACCGTCATATGTGATGTCACCTTCATAGTCATTTCAATGGTAGAGCGGCGCCTGCTCCATGCTTCTAGTAGCAGAGCATCATGGGAAAGAAGGGCGATGTGCTAGCCGGAGGCTTTGAGGATAGTGGGCTGCTTCAAAAGAGGACCTGTCACGTCTCACTACAAGGGCTTATCTGTAGAATCTAGAGAAGTAAGGGAAGATTCCCCCCCCCCCCCCAAACATTTCCCCTCCCCTGACG